TTTGCCAAGATAAGGTATCGCAGAGATGTTGGTTTCCCCGACTCCGTCCACAGTTGACACATCTTTAGTTGACTCTTATGTTGGTCCTGGTGAACAAACATGGGACTATGTCCAAAGGGACACTAAGCAGGGCTTTTCTTGCCATAGAGATACAAGAGAACCTGGGGTCTAGCCAAGCGTGGGTCACTCCATGATGGAAGGCAGGGTTAGGGTACAGTCTCCACTAACACCTGGAGTAGGACAGACGGGGTGGTTCTAAATCCAGGGAGGAGGGAGTCAGAATCAGTAGTCTAACATGATGGGTTATCTGGTGAAAAAGAAATTCAGGTCTTTACATAAAGCTCAAGACAAAGAGATTGAAAAAAGTTCAGAAAAAAAACTTCAGAACCCCACATATTCATCTCATACTAGACACTGACAGTCTAATGGATATCATAGGGAAATATTGTATTATAGAAATAACATGGACAAAAATACAGGCACATTTAAAAGAGTATTTTAGGGTAGGAAATACCAAAGCAAGAAAGGTTGGAGGCAGAGACCCAGGATTTGCTACATATAAATCAAAATCTTATGAACATCAAAGCCAGCTCAAATTCCAAAAAGGCCCAAAGATATGTAGAAACTTAATCTGAGGCTAGTGCTTTTTTCCAACTTAATGGAAAAAATGAATTATTCAATAGGTAGTGCTAGCAATGGCTATACTTTAGGGGGGGGGGAATGGAGCAGTATTTCAAGCTCACCCCACACCAAAATACATTCCAGATGGATCAAGCACTTTACAAGTACCAGAGAAAAACAAAATTTATGTATAAAAATAGTCTTGGAGTGGAAAGATCCTTTACATCATAGTAAAAAGTCTAAAAAGCATTAAGGGAAAAAGAACCATTAAAAAAATTTATCTCATAAAAATCTCAAACCAGGACAAAACATAATGATGGTAGTCAAATGGCAAGTTGGGGGATACAAACTTTTATCACACCAACCTCTAAGTGAAAACCAACAAAACGGACAAAGAATCTGCACTGGCAAGTCACGTAACAGGGAGAAGGCTAAAGTACCCCTGAAGAGACTTCAACCTCCCCAATGATCAGGGAGTGAGCCATCCCTGGGTGGGAGTGTGGTATGGTATCTGTGCCGGTCAAGACTTCAATCTCTGGCCTTCATTCCACTTCCTCAAGCCTGCTGGTCGGAGAAGCCCCCAGCCCAGTGACATCTAACATCTCTCACACCTGTCAGGGTCAGAATGGTGGTGCACACGGGCAGACATGTTATTGAATGAAATTATCCCGAAGGCTGCTTGCAAAACTGGTCGCAGTGCTGACCTCAGAGTGCAGTGGGCAGGTTGCTGGGGAGGGTGGTATTTACTTAATATATTTTCTTGACATGCTCGTATTAAAAAAAAAAAGCTATATACTTTTATATTTTAAAAGCCTTTCACATGAAAAATTAGTAATTTTTGCAAACCATGCACACAAACAAACAAGATAACCCACCTCGGTCTCACTAAAATGAAGCTCTTGCAACCTATTAAGATAGATTGGGAGAATTTAGGTTTTGGTTGGTCAACAAAGATAGGAAAAAAGGTCAAAACACCAGTGAGCCTCCACTAAAGCCCCTTGGCCTGGGGGCTCTGGGCAGCACTTCCCGCCCGGGCGCCAAACTCCTGCGGCGTTGCCCACCCTCGGCCCGACCGGACCACAAG